GGTGCTAATGAGGGCTGTTGGCTTCTCCCACCGCCCGTTAAGGAGCCGCAGGAGAAACGTTCCTCAGCCTCCACACGGTCTGCCTTTAGCGTTGGTCTTGGTCTGGTTTTCACTCGTTGAAAACATCTTGATTTAGTTACATCGCACTTCTGAAATTGCTAGAATATATGTTTACAACAAAAAAAAAAGTATAATTGTGGCTTATTTCAAGTTATCTGTAAGGTTACCTACTTAACAACTTACTGTTGTTACCTACTGGCATATGCACAGGTGCAGATATCTTATCTTTCCTTCTCTGCGAATATGCCGAAATTATGTTTATATTGTAGATGATAAGAATGCTGCTTGAATATATTTGGCTTTATATTAACAGATCTTTTTATGGTAATAGTTTTAAAGGACACATTGGAAAAAAGAGGTGCTCTTGGACAAATAAAAGCAAGGATCAGAGCTGAAGTTTTTAATGCACTGGATGACCGAAGCGAACTACGTCCACCGCTGTCTCGTGAAAATCTTTTAATCAACGAACTAATTCGTGAATACCTGGAATATAACAAATATAATTACGCAGCGTCTGTTTTAACTGCAGGTACTGAGGCTGAATTTTTGTTGTCATCACTGTATTAACAGACATCTGCTGTTCGGCTGAGTAATTCCACTGACACTATAAAATTTAAGTGGGACCAAGCTGCAGAGTTTTGTCTTCTCTTCGAAATAATACAAATACTCTCTCTCCACAGCTTTACTCGTAGCATTAAGCCAAGTCATACAAGATTTTCAAGAACACTCATTGTTCCTTTTCCTTGAGGTAAATGCTTTAACAGCGTAGTTCATGCAGGAACAGTTGATGCAAGAACAAGAAAACCTGCTAGCAGCCTCCAAAATCAAAATACCTTTCTTGAAATCTTTAATTTGTCTTGGAAAATTGCTATTTTTGAAGCATATATCACATTTTTATCTCATTGGCATTTTGGTAAAAAAAACCAAACCAAAACAAAACAGTAGCCTACAAATGAACAAAATTTATTTGAGGAAAAAAGCTAAAGTAAAAGGTACATAAAGTAGTTGAGAGTCTGAATTTTAGCAGTTCTGGCAATTCAGGCATATAGAATTTATCATAAGCCTTGTTAGATATCCTCAGCTTAAATAACAAAAAAGAGTAAGAAGAAGATTGATATTTCTTAACAACTGCAGGTAAGCACTGCTGCTACTGGCTGTTCTAAAATGCCAGTATTTGAGAGCTGTGTACAACATCAACAGAGCAGCTGTAATTTACGTGTTACAGCACTTAGTTATCTTTGCAGGTATTGCTAACTGTATTTGAAATTTGAAGTTCTGTAGTTGTGCTTAGATAGAGTAATTGCATATACTATTTAATAATTGATATATTTCACTCCCCCTTGACAAGAAGGAATGGAGACAGTCTGTACAGCAGTTAACAAGTGGAATCTGTTTGATAACAGTACTTCTTTAGAGAGTTGTTTGTCTGATTATAGTGTAAGCCTTCTTTAATATTTTTTGTTAGATTTCTTTAGAGTGAAGATAAAAATCGTAATATGCCACATAAATTATGAGAGTATGAAGCACTAATGGTTAAGTGAGTTCCCTGGAATTACAGTATACATATATTAGATATTAATAGTCTAAAAAGGGAGGTGTGTGTTCTCATTCTCTTTTGAAATCTCCTGTTAATTGATGATATTTTCTTACCAGTCTTAATAATTTTTCCAGAGTCTGGTCAGCCTGAAGTGCCCTTGGATAGACAGTTTCTTGCCAAAGAGCTGAACATAGTTGAAGACACAAATGGAAAATCAGTGTAAGGAGTGATTTCAGAATGCACAGTATATTCTGGTTTGCATATATTTTTCTCCTTAGGGTTATTATAAATCACATATAAATGATTTCACCAATTGAAATGTGGCTAATTATATGCCTGCTTTAACATGCTGGATTAAAATTCACAGTGTCAAACGTAGGGTCGTTTTCAGACATGTACCAGACTAACATTTAATTCTGCTAACTTTGTAGCCTTCTCCAGATAGTGTACTTGCATGCCAAAACACAAGTCTCTTGTCAGTCAGAAGCAGAAAACAGATAAACTCTTTGCAAATGAGTGGATTGCTTTGTAGAGCAATAAAAAGATTATTGTACTCTTAGATTAGATACAAATTCAGTGCTTTGATACAACTGCATTAATGAGCTAGGGTACTGAGGCAGCTTTAAACACATCCAGTGTTTTTTGTAGCTTGTGCTGTCAGAATCTGTCAGGTGCTTGGGAAGAATCAAGTTTTGTTTGTGCAGTGGTGGACTGGGCCTGCCAAAGTCTGATCCTTCATACTGCACAAGTGAGAATGTGGATCTGTGTTCTTGTGCTAAGTGTGCTCTGCTTCTTCACCTACGAGGGATCTGGAGTTTAGCTGAGAGGGTCTCTTAGTACACGCTTTTTAAGAGCGTGCTGATGTTCAGGGTGGGCTTAGGTTTGTGCTTATTTATATAATGATACTTGACATAATGTATTTACGTATATATGTACACATATATATACAGATGTACAGACATCTGCACATATTCTAGAAGTAAACACTGAGGTCTAAGGAGTGCGTATTTTTAATGATCAGTATTTCATAGACTGGTTTTGTTATTTCTCTCTTAAGCAGACCTCTCTTGTATGGAATTCTCTCTCATTTCTTACATGATGGCAAAGAAGAAAGTACCCAGAATACCCTCCCCAAAGTGTCTTTGCTGAATTATCCAAAGCAGAACCTTGGCAAACCACCTACTGAGAGAAGTCAAAAAGGTGGGTGTCATGTCATTTTTGCTAGTTTTATTTGTGACCAGATTTTCTATATGGTACCTATGCTTGTAACAGCATAAACATGCAGATGAACACACTGTACCTCCTCTTCTGTGCAAGGAGTGCTTTGAAGTGACATCTCTCTTGTAAGAAAAATTCTTCAGCAGAATGATGTTTATACTTCAAAAATAGCATTAAGCTGTGTGCCCTGACCATACTAATTGCTCATGTATTCGTTTAAGAAAGGTCCTACTATATCTAACTCAAGAAGGACCTTTTATATGTGCCTTTGTTCAAATAAGTGACCAACTTATGCTAACTCTTATGCCTGCTGCTCTCTGCTAGTATGCTAATGGTATGCTGATTGCCCTTGGAAGTACTTGACTGGCCTTCAAATATGTCAGTGGTGGAAATTCCTTTTATATGGGAATGTATTTTATTTATAAAACAAGACATTTTTAAATATTGCAGACAGACAAATTGCTATAATTTTTCCAATGGTGCAAGGTACTGTGACACTCCTGTTACCTTGTGGTAGCTGTAGCTACTTGTTAGATACTAGTGGAAAGGGGAAAAAAACCTAGCTTTATTCTCTTAAGACTTTTGACTGTTGGAAAATTCATTTAAACCAAACAGCAGTACTATTCTGATCTGTAGATGCTAGAATACCTGTTGTGCCATGTATGCTTTTACAAACAAGGTTTACTGCTCTGCCAGTGCTGGTAAAGACCAGAAAATATGAATATTCCAGTTCTCAGGAGCAGAAAGGTCATCCACGAGATTGCTTTACCATTTCCCTAAAAGTTAAACTGGCCAAACTGTACTCCGTTATACTATTACATATCTAGAATGGGTCAGCTAGAGGCAGTCTTACTACACTGGGAATTTGATACAAGAATTTAACCTCAATTCTCAGTAAAATACATAGTGAGTGTATCTCTTTGGTTTTTATCTGCTCTAAATTAACTAATTTCTATAGGAAGTTCTTAACACTTCAGCTGTCAGTTCTGTATATGGGCATAAACCTTTGCTGAGGACATAATTCACATCCCCTTGACTGCAGAAGCTTAAGCTCCAAGTTCATTGCTCCCTGGCAGAATGCTTAAATCTTTATTTTCCTTTTCTGGTCTGCTTTTTCACTGGTTACAATTAATAACGCCAAAGCTACAGAATGTAAGGGATTATTGGTCCAGGTTTTTCCTTCAAAGAATCTGCTTGGCCTGTCACTTTCTAATGTGAGAATTTAGTACTGTTGATTAGTACTATCAACTATTTATTTTATATCCAAAAATACGAGGCCTGAGATGATATTGGCATCTAAAAAGCATGAGAGAAGTCCTGAACACCTTTTCTTAACAGTTAATTAGTTGAAACAATGTTGTTTCCCTCCTGCCAGAAGGGGGGGCTGAAGAAAGGAAATTTCAATACCAAAACTGTTATGAATTATCACTTTGTTAGAAATAATTATTCCTATCAGAAATTCCTAAATTTTTTTTTTTAAACTCAGTGTGTAGAAGAACTGTTTCTAAAGTACACCTTTGTACCTCAGTTCTGAAATTGACTCTGTGCAGGGTTATCTTCCCCTGTTGACATCAATATAATTTCATGTGGGGATTTAGTTCAGAGTTAGTTATAAAACTCAGGATTAATCATAGGACATGACAGCATATTGCTTTTTGAACTAAACAACAACATAACAGCTTTAAGGCTTTTAACCTTTAAGTAACAATAGTCTGAAACTACTTTCTGCATGTGTCTGTGGAATATGTAATCAGAGACCTAAAGGCAGTGGGTTTAAAACACTAAATATCAAGCTATTTTAATTAGGCTGCATAGTCAGGTAATCTATCCATTCATAAACTCAACCCACCAAGCCTCTCATTTAACACCAACTTGCTTTCCATATTAGAAGTTGTTTGCTTATGTAGTTGAATGAATATTGCAACAGACCAGGGATCCTGATAAAACATGTAGACTCTGGTGTTTCTGTTACTTCATTCACTGTAGCCAGGTTGGAAGTTGTCTGGAATCTAAACTTCAGTAATGCAAAGCTCTTGCCTCATATAGTTGCATGGAAACATTTATTTGTAAAGTTGCCAGAGTTTCCTATGACAATATTCTGTATCAAAGTTGATAATAATAGAATGTAACACACCTTTGGATGTCCAGCTGCATGAGAGTATGTGTGTTTCATTTTCAGATAGAATTCCAGACCCAGGAAGGACAGCTGGCACAAGCATCGAAGAGGCCCTTGTTATACGAAGTATAAACAGATGATATCTTTTGTATGCTAATTTCTCATGTAAAGTTCTGGAAGAGTTAATTTAGGAAATTCCTCTTTGCATATATTTCCCCAATCTGTCCAGTGGGACCATTTCAGCTTGTTAGATCTACCCATGAGACAGGATGACTGGGGTCATACATACTGTCAGTGAAAAAAATGCTAGCAAAGGCTCTTCTTCTCCAGTGCTAATAGAAGGAAAACTGCATAGGAAGTCAGATTAGTGAGGCCTGTCTCTAGAATTTGGCCTAAAAATGTACTTTGTAAAAATGAATTTACTTTATAAAAATGTATCAAGCAGCTTACCACTTGTACACTTTCCTTGTTATGTGTTTGTGTCCATCCTGTGTTTCTGAATAAATTTTTTTCTATTTTATTCAGTGTGGAATTTTTAAACTATTCAATTTAAATATTTTAATCACTCTTTTAAAAGAAAAACCTGCTACTTTCAGATGAGTATGGGAAAATAAAGTTGGATAGAAAATTAAAGTGCTTTAGAGGAATAGATGGTTTTAATTCTCTGGAAATGCAGACTATATTTATCTTCATGCCAACAAACACATGAGGGTTAGTCTTTTCCATCTGGAGTCGCTGTAAGCTGTCTAGCACTTACACAGGGAAGGGGAGAAACTTCTGTTTTTTTCCCCCCAAAAGACATGACAATCAGGCAAAGTTAAAAATAAAGTTGATAACAGATTACTGATTCCCAGAACTTTTTTTAGCCAAGATGTTTACATGTTTTGAAATGGGAATTTATTTTAAAAGCCAAACGTACAGGGGTATGTCAGAGATAAAGGTTAGCTACTTATTTTAGCAAAATGTATAGATTTTAATGTTTCAAATGATAGAGCAGTTTTGTATAAATACATTTTAGGGTTGCATTCTTAAAAATCTTACTTGTTAGATAAATGGTAGAGTAAGCAGGGAAATAGAGTAAGAGGACATACAGTTTGTGAGTTTAAGTGAAAGGACCCTGGGTTGTACAGACTGCAAAGTTTTGCTTTTATCTTGATCTGACCCAGTTGGCATTATAGGTGGGTTTTTATTTGTTAAGCAGCCTAGCCTCTACTCTGATGTGAAACTGCACAGAAGAATATCTATATGTTGAAAGAAAAAGTTGCATTTATCCATTTGAAGCCTCAGTAGTGAGCTCACCCCCTTTGTGTGACTGGCAATACTCCAGCTCCCCATTTCCTGATATATAAGTATCTCAGGCCTGTTGCCAGGAGGGGAGGGCATGTGTTTGCAAATATACCTCAATCACATCCATCTTTAAGTCTTTTGTAGCTTTTTATCAATTAGAATTGACCACTGGGTCAGACAAGCAAATTTGTCTCTATGCTGTCAATGTTTGCACCATTGTCAAGTTCAACCACTTGGCTGAAGAGCCATCTGTGTAAAAACTACCACTGTGGGACTCTGCCTCATTACTAGGGTCCTTCCTACCACATCAGTGCAAGTATTCACAATCACTGATCTCTCAGTTTCTCTGTCTATAAATCCAGTAGAAAAGCGGTCTTCTAAGATGTTATTTGTAAATTACCTTCATTTTTAAATGAGCTGAAAGTTCCTCTATGGACAATTGCAAAAATGAGCTTTTGAACAATGCAGACATGATTGCTCTGGCCACAGCAATCTCTGAATTTTTAACTTCGATTTTCCAGAGGTTAACTGCTAGACCCCAGTTTTTCCATAAACCAGTGGATCAAATTGATATGTATGTGAATTGTCTTTTCAAGGGCAAGGAAAAAGGCTGTGGGTAACACAGAAGCTCTAACCTTCTATGTTGTGCAAATCCTCCAGTGTAACCCAAGCCATTGTATCTACTTTTTCTCTTCCCACCACAGATCATACAGGAGCTGCCCAGGTGCCATGGAGCTTCCTGGGAAGTGGATTTTTTGTGGTAGAAGTTAAATACAATTTTTGTCCTGGCTGAAGAAGGGGAAGTGCTGTTTGGTACTTGCCCTTTCCCAAACCTACAGCTCAGCAGGATCATGGTTTCCACAGCCATGACAGCAGAGGCTGTTACAAAGGTGTCCCTCACCGAACTTTGAGGAGAAGGAATAGCTGACATCAGAGAAGAAATCTATTTAAGACTGAGGGAATCCTGGGACTATTTTCTTAGGGGATAGTTGCTTCAACCCCTTGTCAGGATCCTGCACTGCGGTGGTGGGTGGAAGCTGGCCCATTTGTTTTTGGTGCAACATGTGCTTCATCTAATTCTCTAATACCCTCACAGTCCAGATTTGAGAGTTTGGGACAATTTCTTGTTTCAAAGTATAGCCATTGTACAAGCAAATTACAGATTAAAGTGTATTTCCCTGTTACTTATTTTTACAACAAAGCTTTGAAATATTTCTATTAAAATATACTGGTTTAATCACATTATTAATGGTTTATCCTGACAGTACATGAAATATCAGAGCATCTTTCAAGATGCAGACATGTAGCACATCATATGAATGTCTACTTGCTAACAGATGAAGAGGAATTCCAAAGCCTGTGCAATATGGCTGCACTTCCCTAAAAATAAATAAATAAATAAATAAATCATTCCTTAAAAGTTTAAGCTAAGCAAGGTCAGTATTTAGATGAAAATAATTCACAATCCTAGCATTACAGGTTCAGGTTTTAGGCAAAATTGCCACGTAGGTGAGCATGCACAAAAATGATTTTCTCCAATAATTTAAGAAGCCCCATCTAGCTTCATTACAGACTGTGATGTCTTGCATTAACTGCCCTTAGTCCTTCTACTGACATCAGAAAGAAAAAAAATAATAATATATATATATGTATATAAGCATGTAGAAGTTTGGGGGCTTTAATGAGCAAAATGCATTTCTGAGTTTTTTTTGATATAGAACACTGTGACTCAGACTGTTACAGAGGGAACTACATTAAAAGAGGCTGTTCGTTGTCTAAGCATGGTATCACAAGTGAAGGCGACAAGGAGCCAGTGAAGTTTGGTGTGGGTATCAGAGCTGGAAAGCACTTTGGAAGAACTTAACTCACAAGATTAAAACCAGGTTCTTTAAAACTGTATTTCTGCTCTGCCCTAGAATCAGAGGAAACTGACTCTACACTCCACAGCATCTGTGCTGCTTCAGAGGTATTAGTTTCTGTCATGCACAGGAGAAATTTTTTTCTAAGCTTTATCAACACGCTCCAGGGACTCGGTTACGCTTTCCTTCCTGAGCGCCCTTTGTATCAAGCTGAATCTTGGTGTCAATTGATCAGTTTTCCGGAGGAGCGATTATCATTGAGTGATTAGGAAAAAAAACCCCAAAATACTTGTTCACACTTGCAAAAGACACCCTTTCAGTGGCAGCTAGTGTCCAACTGATTCAGAACTGACCTGTGTGCTTCACATACTTCACTTGACCTGCAGCCAGCATTAAGCACAAAGCTTAACATTAAATGGCTGGTGACTATTTTACCTCATTAGAGTACTTTCGTGATGAATTGTTCTAGTTTGGGCACAGATTGTCTCTCCTGTTGCAAGAGGACAGCTTAACACAGCTGGTAACTCACCAGTGTGCTTGTCAGTTCCAATTACATTTGTCAGCTGGTAACTCACCAGTGCGCTTGTCAGTTCCAATTACATTTGTCAGCTGGTAACTCACCAGTGCGCTTGTCAGTTCCAATTACATTTATCACCTTAAAGAAACATGGTTGGCAAACTTAGGTAAAAACATTAAAAAAAATTGCTTACCTGACACACATCATTTAACAAACTAACATCTCCATCTGTTTTTTTATCTTCCATTGTATTCAGGTTACACTGTGATAAGGCAGCTGAAAGTTCCTTTCTTTCCTGCTCAATTCCTCTGTTTCCCCCCCCAGTACAATATTTACAGTGCAGATTCAACAAGGAGGTATTTAAGGGCTGCTCAATATTTTTTCTAGAAAAATAATTAGAACTAATAATAAAAATTAAAAAAAAATAAATCAGGGGGTTTTAAATAAAGCTCATTTTGCCGTCACAAAGGCATCCTCCAGTGGGAATCCACAGCTTTCATTGTGAGATGACTTTGTTTTAAAGAAAACCCAAACCACAATTAGGGACTACTATAGCAGCATACAGCCGGGCTACTATATTAGCATATTCTTACATTAACTTTTAAGAAGTGAAGGCTGGAGACCACTTTTGCACTTGATCACATCCTGCCTCACATGGCTCAAGAGTGCAACCATTTCAGTCCCAGCACTTATATTTTTTAGACTTTCCAGCTCCGTTTAACGTCACATCATATATCACCCTCCACCACTGCCTCTGTTAAACACACTCCTCAGGCAGCAAGACTGCACGTGCACATGCAGTGCTCTGCAGACCAGCCGGGATAATTTCCACTCCTTTTTAAGCTACTATTAAAATGTATCTGGTTTTGTGAAGCCATTGCATGGGTTTAAAAGGAACTTCTTAGGCTAACTTTGATGAATGTTAAAATGATCATAATTTCCAGAGGATCCTGTTGCATTTCACTGTTTTTTATTAATTATATTCCTATTTAAAAGCTAGGTTTGCAACTGAGAAACTGAAATAAAACTAAAAATAGGGCGAACTACCCTGTGAGGAGTTTTCTGATAGTAGGGGTGAGTTTCTTGGGTTTACGTCCTGGTGATCATTTCCCTTGGCTTTGCTCCAACACAGTCACACATGCACGAGCCTGATATGACACCGCTGCCTTTCAGGCCCTGGGAGGGCTTTGCATGGTTGCATGGCAGCACCGCACCTCAGTGGATACTGACCCTCCATCTGGAAGGACAGACTGCAACTGCTGGGACTGTGTGACTGTGTTGGTAAATCTGGTCTTCTCCACCTAAGACCTGAACATGGGCCTGTACCTGACATTTCCGAAATGATGTAG